TTTTTATAATCCGTTTTAAATCAATTGCAGCAGAATCTTCATCCTTTAATACGGCTTCGATTTGTTCCATCGCTTCGCGGAAATTTTCGTACTCTAAATTCTTCTCAGTGGAGAATTTTTCTTTGAATTCATTATACCTAAATAGGTTTTTTATGCCTATGTTGCAGTATCTCCTGTGCCATAGAAGTACACGTTATACTTTTTATTTTTATATTGTGTTATTTTTGCTGGCCATTCTATGTAGCCTTTAAGTTTCGCGAACACCAAATCACCAATCTTGAACTGCTCCTTTTCTTTGTTCATTTTAATATTTAAAATACAAACTTTTAATTAAAAATTGTTTTATATAAAAAAGATTTAGAAATGCCGCTGTTGCTTTCTTTTTCCTGATATGAGTTGATTTATAGTTACAATTGTATAGATAAAAAATTTGCAACAGAGTTGTATTTTTTCATTTTATTTTTCAAATGGATAATTTCTTCTAGTTTTTTTTTAAAATCAAATTTTATTTGACTATGGAAGTGTGCGCGTTCCGTTTCGTTTTAAGTGCAAGTAATACTTTTACTTCCGGCTCTATGGTAGCTTTGTCTTGAATATCAACACTGGGCAAATCAATTGCAGCAGAATCTTCATCCTTTAATGCGGCTTTGATTTGTTCCATCGCTTCGCGGAAATTTTCGTACTCTAAATTCTTCTCAGTGGAGAATTTTTCTTTGAATTCATTATACCTCAAGGCCTAAACAAGTTTGTTTCTTAACAGCGCCAGTTGGTGTTTCCGTTTTCGAGGCATTTTTCAATTCAGTTTTTTAGATCTTAGTAGCTTTTTCAGTGGATTTCTTTGCAGAACTGCTACTTCCACGTCCAGCTACGGGGAAATCTGTGCCAGTAACTTCTTTGTATTTAGCTTTAAGCGCTAATAACTTCTTAACTTCAGTGTCAATTACGTCCTTTGATGCGTTTTTGGTTTTAGCTGTACGCACTTTCTCGCCTTGCTCGTTTATTTCTTTCGTAAGTAGTTCTTTCTCGGTTGCCGAAGATATGTTAGGTGTAGTTGCTGCTTTAGTTCTGTCCATTTTTGCTTCAGGTGTCCAATCTTTACCTGTTAGTGTTTTATACGAAGACTTTAGTTGAAGTAAAATTTGAACTTCTGGTTCTATAGATGATTTAGGAGCTTTCTGCGATTTTAATTCACGGATTTTGTTATCCTGACTTTGGATTTTTTCTAAAATGCTTTCTTACTCTGAATTATTTGATTCACTGGTTAGATCAATTTTTATTACTTCCGCTGTGACATCGGTTTGCTGAGGTGCTGTAGCGCCAATTTTCCAATCTTGACCAGTAAGATTTTTATAATCCGTTTTAAATCAATTGCAGCAGAATCTTCATCCTTTAATACGGCTTCGATTTGTTCCATCGCTTCGCGGAAATTTTCGTACTCTAAATTCTTCTCAGTGGAGAATTTTTCTTTGAATTCATTATACCTCAAGGCCTAAACAAGTTTGTTTCTTAACAGCGCCAGTTGGTGTTTCCGTTTTCGAGGCATTTTTCAATTCAGTTTTTTAGATCTTAGTAGCTTTTTCAGTGGATTTCTTTGCAGAACTGCTACTTCCACGTCCAGCTACGGGGAAATCTGTGCCAGTAACTTCTTTGTATTTAGCTTTAAGCGCTAATAACTTCTTAACTTCAGTGTCAATTACGTCCTTTGATGCGTTTTTGGTTTTAGCTGTACGCACTTTCTCGCCTTGCTCGTTTATTTCTTTCGTAAGTAGTTCTTTCTCGGTTGCCGAAGATATGTTAGGTGTAGTTGCTGCTTTAGTTCTGTCCATTTTTGCTTCAGGTGTCCAATCTTTACCTGTTAGTGTTTTATACGAAGACTTTAGTTGAAGTAAAATTTGAACTTCTGGTTCTATAGATGATTTAGGAGCTTTCTGCGATTTTAATTCACGGATTTTGTTATCCTGACTTTGGATTTTTTCTAAAATGCTTTCTTACTCTGAATTATTTGATTCACTGGTTAGATCAATTTTTATTACTTCCGCTGTGACATCGGTTTGCTGAGGTGCTGTAGCGCCAATTTTCCAATCTTGACCAGTAAGATTTTTATAATCCGTTTTAAATCAATTGCAGCAGAATCTTCATCCTTTAATACGGCTTCGATTTGTTCCATCGCTTCGCGGAAATTTTCGTACTCTAAATTCTTCTCAGTGGAGAATTTTTCTTTGAATTCATTATACCTCAAGGCCTAAACAAGTTTGTTTCTTAACAGCGCCAGTTGGTGTTTCCGTTTTCGAGGCATTTTTCAATTCAGTTTTTTAGATCTTAGTAGCTTTTTCAGTGGATTTCTTTGCAGAACTGCTACTTCCACGTCCAGCTACGGGGAAATCTGTGCCAGTAACTTCTTTGTATTTAGCTTTAAGCGCTAATAACTTCTTAACTTCAGTGTCAATTACGTCCTTTGATGCGTTTTTGGTTTTAGCAGTACGCACTTTCTCGCCTTGCTCGTTTATTTCTTTCGTAAGTAGTTCTTTCTCGGTTGCCGAAGATATGTTAGGTGTAGTTACTGCTTTAGTTCTGTCCATTTTTGCTTCAGGTGTCCAATCTTTACCTGTTAGTGTTTTATACGAAGACTTTAGTTGAAGTAAAATTTGAACTTCTGGTTCTATAGATGATTTAGGAGCTTTCTGCGATTTTAATTCACGGATTTTGTTATCCTGACTTTGGATTTTTTCTAAAATGCTTTCTTACTCTGAATTATTTGATTCACTGGTTAGATCAATTTTTATTACTTCCGCTGTGACATCGGTTTGCTGAGGTGCTGTAGCGCCAATTTTCCAATCTTGACCAGTAAGATTTTTATAATCCGTTTTAAATCAATTGCAGCAGAATCTTCATCCTTTAATACGGCTTCGATTTGTTCCATCGCTTCGCGGAAATTTTCGTACTCTAAATTCTTCTCAGTGGAGAATTTTTCTTTGAATTCATTATACCTAAATAGGTTTTTTATGCCTATGTTGCAGTATCTCCTGTGCCATAGAAGTACACGTTATACTTTTTATTTTTATATTGTGTTATTTTTGCTGGCCATTCTATGTAGCCTTTAAGTTTCGCGAACACCAAATCACCAATCTTGAACTGCTCCTTTTCTTTGTTCATTTTAATATTTAAAATACAAACTTTTAATTAAAAATTGTTTTATATAAAAAAGATTTAGAAATGCCGCTGTTGCTTTCTTTTTCCTGATATGAGTTGATTTACAGTTACAATTGTATAGATAAAAAATTTGCAACAGAGTTGTATTTTTTCATTTTATTTTTCAAATGGATAATTTCTTCTAGTTTTTTTTTAAAATCAAATTTTATTTGACTATGGAAGTGTGCGCGTTCCGTTTCGTTTTAAGTGCAAGTAATACTTTTACTTCCGGCTCTATGGTAGCTTTGTCTTGAATATCAACACTGGGCAAATCAATTGCAGCAGAATCTTCATCCTTTAATACGGCTTCGATTTGTTCCATCGCTTCGCGGAAATTTTCGTACTCTAAATTCTTCTCAGTGGAGAATTTTTCTTTGAATTCATTATACCTCAAGGCCTAAACAAGTTTGTTTCTTAACAGCGCCAGTTGGTGTTTCCGTTTTCGAGGCATTTTTCAATTCAGTTTTTTAGATCTTAGTAGCTTTTTCAGTGGATTTCTTTGCAGAACTGCTACTTCCACGTCCAGCTACGGGGAAATCTGTGCCAGTAACTTCTTTGTATTTAGCTTTAAGCGCTAATAACTTCTTAACTTCAGTGTCAATTACGTCCTTTGATGCGTTTTTGGTTTTAGCTGTACGCACTTTCTCGCCTTGCTCGTTTATTTCTTTCGTAAGTAGTTCTTTCTCGGTTGCCGAAGATATGTTAGGTGTAGTTGCTGCTTTAGTTCTGTCCATTTTTGCTTCAGGTGTCCAATCTTTACCTGTTAGTGTTTTATACGAAGACTTTAGTTGAAGTAAAATTTGAACTTCTGGTTCTATAGATGATTTAGGAGCTTTCTGCGATTTTAATTCACGGATTTTGTTATCCTGACTTTGGATTTTTTCTAAAATGCTTTCTTACTCTGAATTATTTGATTCACTTGTTAGATCAATTTTTATTACTTCCGCTGTGACATCGGTTTGCTGAGGTGCTGTAGCGCCAATTTTCCAATCTTGACCAGTAAGATTTTTATAATCCGTTTTAAATCAATTGCAGCAGAATCTTCATCCTTTAATACGGCTTCGATTTGTTCCATCGCTTCGCGGAAATTTTCGTACTCTAAATTCTTCTCAGTGGAGAATTTTTCTTTGAATTCATTATACCTAAATAGGTTTTTTATGCCTATGTTGCAGTATCTCCTGTGCCATAGAAGTACACGTTATACTTTTTATTTTTATATTGTGTTATTTTTGCTGGCCATTCTATGTAGCCTTTAAGTTTCGCGAACACCAAATCACCAATCTTGAACTGCTCCTTTTCTTTGTTCATTTTAATATTTAAAATACAAACTTTTAATTAAAAATTGTTTTATATAAAAAAGATTTAGAAATGCCGCTGTTGCTTTCTTTTTCCTGATATGAGTTGATTTATAGTTACAATTGTATAGATAAAAAATTTGCAACAGAGTTGTATTTTTTCATTTTATTTTTCAAATGGATAATTTCTTCTAGTTTTTTTTTAAAATCAAATTTTATTTGACTATGGAAGTGTGCGCGTTCCGTTTCGTTTTAAGTGCAAGTAATACTTTTACTTCCGGCTCTATGGTAGCTTTGTCTTGAATATCAACACTGGGCAAATCAATTGCAGCAGAATCTTCATCCTTTAATGCGGCTTTGATTTGTTCCATCGCTTCGCGGAAATTTTCGTACTCTAAATTCTTCTCAGTGGAGAATTTTTCTTTGAATTCATTATACCTCAAGGCCTAAACAAGTTTGTTTCTTAACAGCGCCAGTTGGTGTTTCCGTTTTCGAGGCATTTTTCAATTCAGTTTTTTAGATCTTAGTAGCTTTTTCAGTGGATTTCTTTGCAGAACTGCTACTTCCACGTCCAGCTACGGGGAAATCTGTGCCAGTAACTTCTTTGTATTTAGCTTTAAGCGCTAATAACTTCTTAACTTCAGTGTCAATTACGTCCTTTGATGCGTTTTTGGTTTTAGCTGTACGCACTTTCTCGCCTTGCTCGTTTATTTCTTTCGTAAGTAGTTCTTTCTCGGTTGCCGAAGATATGTTAGGTGTAGTTGCTGCTTTAGTTCTGTCCATTTTTGCTTCAGGTGTCCAATCTTTACCTGTTAGTGTTTTATACGAAGACTTTAGTTGAAGTAAAATTTGAACTTCTGGTTCTATAGATGATTTAGGAGCTTTCTGCGATTTTAATTCACGGATTTTGTTATCCTGACTTTGGATTTTTTCTAAAATGCTTTCTTACTCTGAATTATTTGATTCACTGGTTAGATCAATTTTTATTACTTCCGCTGTGACATCGGTTTGCTGAGGTGCTGTAGCGCCAATTTTCCAATCTTGACCAGTAAGATTTTTATAATCCGTTTTAAATCAATTGCAGCAGAATCTTCATCCTTTAATACGGCTTCGATTTGTTCCATCGCTTCGCGGAAATTTTCGTACTCTAAATTCTTCTCAGTGGATAATTTTTCTTTGAATTCATTATACCTAAATAGGTTTTTTATGCCTATGTTGCAGTATCTCCTGTGCCATAGAAGTACACGTTATACTTTTTATTTTTATATTGTGTTATTTTTGCTGGCCATTCTATGTAGCCTTTAAGTTTCGCGAACACCAAATCACCAATCTTGAACTGCTCCTTTTCTTTGTTCATTTTAATATTTAAAATACAAACTTTTAATTAAAAATTGTTTTATATAAAAAAGATTTAGAAATGCCGCTGTTGCTTTCTTTTTCCTGATATGAGTTGATTTACAGTTACAATTGTATAGATAAAAAATTTGCAACAGAGTTGTATTTTTTCATTTTATTTTTCAAATGGATAATTTCTTCTAGTTTTTTTTTAAAATCAAATTTTATTTGACTATGGAGGTGTGCGCGTTCCGTTTCGTTTTAAGTGCAAGTAATACTTTTACTTCCGGCTCTATGGTAGCGCTAATAACTTCTTAACTTCAGTGTCAATTACGTCCTTTGATGCGTTTTTGGTTTTAGCTGTACGCACTTTCTCGCCTTGCTCGTTTATTTCTTTCGTAAGTAGTTCTTTCTCGGTTGCCGAAGATATGTTAGGTGTAGTTGCTGCTTTAGTTCTGTCCATTTTTGCTTCAGGTGTCCAATCTTTACCTGTTAGTGTTTTATACGAAGACTTTAGTTGAAGTAAAATTTGAACTTCTGGTTCTATAGATGATTTAGGAGCTTTCTGCGATTTTAATTCACGGATTTTGTTATCCTGACTTTGGATTTTTTCTAAAATGCTTTCTTACTCTGAATTATTTGATTCACTGGTTAGATCAATTTTTATTACTTCCGCTGTGACATCGGTTTGCTGAGGTGCTGTAGCGCCAATTTTCCAATCTTGACCAGTAAGATTTTTATAATCCGTTTTAAATCAATTGCAGCAGAATCTTCATCCTTTAATACGGCTTCGATTTGTTCCATCGCTTCGCGGAAATTTTCGTACTCTAAATTCTTCTCAGTGGATAATTTTTCTTTGAATTCATTATACCTAAATAGGTTTTTTATGCCTATGTTGCAGTATCTCCTGTGCCATAGAAGTACACGTTATACTTTTTATTTTTATATTGTGTTATTTTTGCTGGCCATTCTATGTAGCCTTTAAGTTTCGCGAACACCAAATCACCAATCTTGAACTGCTCCTTTTCTTTGTTCATTTTAATATTTAAAATACAAACTTTTAATTAAAAATTGTTTTATATAAAAAAGATTTAGAAATGCCGCTGTTGCTTTCTTTTTCCTGATATGAGTTGATTTACAGTTACAATTGTATAGATAAAAAATTTGCAACAGAGTTGTATTTTTTCATTTTATTTTTCAAATGGATAATTTCTTCTAGTTTTTTTTTAAAATCAAATTTTATTTGACTATGGAGGTGTGCGCGTTCCGTTTCGTTTTAAGTGCAAGTAATACTTTTACTTCCGGCTCTATGGTAGCGCTAATAACTTCTTAACTTCAGTGTCAATTACGTCCTTTGATGCGTTTTTGGTTTTAGCTGTACGCACTTTCTCGCCTTGCTCGTTTATTTCTTTCGTAAGTAGTTCTTTCTCGGTTGCCGAAGATATGTTAGGTGTAGTTGCTGCTTTAGTTCTGTCCATTTTTGCTTCAGGTGTCCAATCTTTACCTGTTAGTGTTTTATACGAAGACTTTAGTTGAAGTAAAATTTGAACTTCTGGTTCTATAGATGATTTAGGAGCTTTCTGCGATTTTAATTCACGGATTTTGTTATCCTGACTTTGGATTTTTTCTAAAATGCTTTCTTACTCTGAATTATTTGATTCACTGGTTAGATCAATTTTTATTACTTCCGCTGTGACATCGGTTTGCTGAGGTGCTGTAGCGCCAATTTTCCAATCTTGACCAGTAAGATTTTTATAATCCGTTTTAAATCAATTGCAGCAGAATCTTCATCCTTTAATACGGCTTCGATTTGTTCCATCGCTTCGCGGAAATTTTCGTACTCTAAATTCTTCTCAGTGGATAATTTTTCTTTGAATTCATTATACCTAAATAGGTTTTTTATGCCTATGTTGCAGTATCTCCTGTGCCATAGAAGTACACGTTATACTTTTTATTTTTATATTGTGTTATTTTTGCTGGCCATTCTATGTAGCCTTTAAGTTTCGCGAACACCAAATCACCAATCTTGAACTGCTCCTTTTCTTTGTTCATTTTAATATTTAAAATACAAACTTTTAATTAAAAATTGTTTTATATAAAAAAGATTTAGAAATGCCGCTGTTGCTTTCTTTTTCCTGATATGAGTTGATTTACAGTTACAATTGTATAGATAAAAAATTTGCAACAGAGTTGTATTTTTTCATTTTATTTTTCAAATGGATAATTTCTTCTAGTTTTTTTTTAAAATCAAATTTTATTTGACTATGGAGGTGTGCGCGTTCCGTTTCGTTTTAAGTGCAAGTAATACTTTTACTTCCGGCTCTATGGTAGCGCTAATAACTTCTTAACTTCAGTGTCAATTACGTCCTTTGATGCGTTTTTGGTTTTAGCTGTACGCACTTTCTCGCCTTGCTCGTTTATTTCTTTCGTAAGTAGTTCTTTCTCGGTTGCCGAAGATATGTTAGGTGTAGTTGCTGCTTTAGTTCTGTCCATTTTTGCTTCAGGTGTCCAATCTTTACCTGTTAGTGTTTTATACGAAGACTTTAGTTGAAGTAAAATTTGAACTTCTGGTTCTATAGATGATTTAGGAGCTTTCTGCGATTTTAATTCACGGATTTTGTTATCCTGACTTTGGATTTTTTCTAAAATGCTTTCTTACTCTGAATTATTTGATTCACTGGTTAGATCAATTTTTATTACTTCCGCTGTGACATCGGTTTGCTGAGGTGCTGTAGCGCCAATTTTCCAATCTTGACCAGTAAGATTTTTATAATCCGTTTTAAATCAATTGCAGCAGAATCTTCATCCTTTAATACGGCTTCGATTTGTTCCATCGCTTCGCGGAAATTTTCGTTCTCTAAATTCTTCTCAGTGGAGAATTTTTCTTTGAATTCATTATACCTCAAATAGGTTTTTTATGCCTATGTTGCAGTATCTCCTGTGCCATAGAAGTACACGTTATACTTTTTATTTTTATATTGTGTTATTTTTGCTGGCCATTCTATGTAGCCTTTAAGTTTCGCGAACACCAAATCACCAATCTTGAACTGCTCCTTTTCTTTGTTCATTTTAATATTTAAAATACAAACTTTTAATTAAAAATTGTTTTATATAAAAAAGATTTAGAAATGCCGCTGTTGCTTTCTTTTTCCTGATATGAGTTGATTTACAGTTACAATTGTATAGATAAAAAATTTGCAACAGAGTTGTATTTTTTCATTTTATTTTTCAAATGGATAATTTCTTCTAGTTTTTTTTTAAAATCAAATTTTATTTGACTATGGAGGTGTGCGCGTTCCGTTTCGTTTTAAGTGCAAGTAATACTTTTACTTCCGGCTCTATGGTAGCGCTAATAACTTCTTAACTTCAGTGTCAATTACGTCCTTTGATGCGTTTTTGGTTTTAGCTGTACGCACTTTCTCGCCTTGCTCGTTTATTTCTTTCGTAAGTAGTTCTTTCTCGGTTGCCGAAGATATGTTAGGTGTAGTTGCTGCTTTAGTTCTGTCCATTTTTGCTTCAGGTGTCCAATCTTTACCTGTTAGTGTTTTATACGAAGACTTTAGTTGAAGTAAAATTTGAACTTCTGGTTCTATAGATGATTTAGGAGCTTTCTGCGATTTTAATTCACGGATTTTGTTATCCTGACTTTGGATTTTTTCTAAAATGCTTTCTTACTCTGAATTATTTGATTCACTGGTTAGATCAATTTTTATTACTTCCGCTGTGACATCGGTTTGCTGAGGTGCTGTAGCGCCAATTTTCCAATCTTGACCAGTAAGATTTTTATAATCCGTTTTAAATCAATTGCAGCAGAATCTTCATCCTTTAATACGGCTTCGATTTGTTCCATCGCTTCGCGGAAATTTTCGTACTCTAAATTCTTCTCAGTGGATAATTTTTCTTTGAATTCATTATACCTAAATAGGTTTTTTATGCCTATGTTGCAGTATCTCCTGTGCCATAGAAGTACACGTTATACTTTTTATTTTTATATTGTGTTATTTTTGCTGGCCATTCTATGTAGCCTTTAAGTTTCGCGAACACCAAATCACCAATCTTGAACTGCTCCTTTTCTTTGTTCATTTTAATATTTAAAATACAAACTTTTAATTAAAAATTGTTTTATATAAAAAAGATTTAGAAATGCCGCTGTTGCTTTCTTTTTCCTGATATGAGTTGATTTACAGTTACAATTGTATAGATAAAAAATTTGCAACAGAGTTGTATTTTTTCATTTTATTTTTCAAATGGATAATTTCTTCTAGTTTTTTTTTAAAATCAAATTTTATTTGACTATGGAGGTGTGCGCGTTCCGTTTCGTTTTAAGTGCAAGTAATACTTTTACTTCCGGCTCTATGGTAGCGCTAATAACTTCTTAACTTCAGTGTCAATTACGTCCTTTGATGCGTTTTTGGTTTTAGCTGTACGCACTTTCTCGCCTTGCTCGTTTATTTCTTTCGTAAGTAGTTCTTTCTCGGTTGCCGAAGATATGTTAGGTGTAGTTGCTGCTTTAGTTCTGTCCATTTTTGCTTCAGGTGTCCAATCTTTACCTGTTAGTGTTTTATACGAAGACTTTAGTTGAAGTAAAATTTGAACTTCTGGTTCTATAGATGATTTAGGAGCTTTCTGCGATTTTAATTCACGGATTTTGTTATCCTGACTTTGGATTTTTTCTAAAATGCTTTCTTACTCTGAATTATTTGATTCACTGGTTAGATCAATTTTTATTACTTCCGCTGTGACATCGGTTTGCTGAGGTGCTGTAGCGCCAATTTTCCAATCTTGACCAGTAAGATTTTTATAATCCGTTTTAAATCAATTGCAGCAGAATCTTCATCCTTTAATACGGCTTCGATTTGTTCCATCGCTTCGCGGAAATTTTCGTACTCTAAATTCTTCTCAGTGGATAATTTTTCTTTGAATTCATTATACCTAAATAGGTTTTTTATGCCTATGTTGCAGTATCTCCTGTGCCATAGAAGTACACGTTATACTTTTTATTTTTATATTGTGTTATTTTTGCTGGCCATTCTATGTAGCCTTTAAGTTTCGCGAACACCAAATCACCAATCTTGAACTGCTCCTTTTCTTTGTTCATTTTAATATTTAAAATACAAACTTTTAATTAAAAATTGTTTTATATAAAAAAGATTTAGAAATGCCGCTGTTGCTTTCTTTTTCCTGATATGAGTTGATTTATAGTTACAATTGTATAGATAAAAAATTTGCAACAGAGTTGTATTTTTTCATTTTATTTTTCAAATGGATAATTTCTTCTAGTTTTTTTTTAAAATCAAATTTTATTTGACTATGGAAGTGTGCGCGTTCCGTTTCGTTTTAAGTGCAAGTAATACTTTTACTTCCGGCTCTATGGTAGCTTTGTCTTGAATATCAATACTGGGCAAATCAATTGCAGCAGAATCTTCATCCTTTAATGCGGCTTTGATTTGTTCCATCGCTTCGCGGAAATTTTCGTACTCTAAATTCTTCTCAGTGGAGAATTTTTCTTTGAATTCATTATACCTCAAGGCCTAAACAAGTTTGTTTCTTAACAGCGCCAGTTGGTGTTTCCGTTTTCGAGGCATTTTTCAATTCAGTTTTTTAGATCTTAGTAGCTTTTTCAGTGGATTTCTTTGCAGAACTGCTACTTCCACGTCCAGCTACGGGGAAATCTGTGCCAGTAACTTCTTTGTATTTAGCTTTAAGCGCTAATAACTTCTTAACTTCAGTGTCAATTACGTCCTTTGATGCGTTTTTGGTTTTAGCTGTACGCACTTTCTCGCCTTGCTCGTTTATTTCTTTCGTAAGTAGTTCTTTCTCGGTTGCCGAAGATATGTTAGGTGTAGTTGCTGCTTTAGTTCTGTCCATTTTTGCTTCAGGTGTCCAATCTTTACCTGTTAGTGTTTTATACGAAGACTTTAGTTGAAGTAAAATTTGAACTTCTGGTTCTATAGATGATTTAGGAGCTTTCTGCGATTTTAATTCACGGATTTTGTTATCCTGACTTTGGATTTTTTCTAAAATGCTTTCTTACTCTGAATTATTTGATTCACTGGTTAGATCAATTTTTATTACTTCCGCTGTGACATCGGTTTGCTGAGGTGCTGTAGCGCCAATTTTCCAATCTTGACCAGTAAGATTTTTATAATCCGTTTTAAATCAATTGCAGCAGAATCTTCATCCTTTAATACGGCTTCGATTTGTTCCATCGCTTCGCGGAAATTTTCGTACTCTAAATTCTTCTCAGTGGAGAATTTTTCTTTGAATTCATTATACCTAAATAGGTTTTTTATGCCTATGTTGCAGTATCTCCTGTGCCATAGAAGTACACGTTATACTTTTTATTTTTATATTGTGTTATTTTTGCTGGCCATTCTATGTAGCCTTTAAGTTTCGCGAACACCAAATCACCAATCTTGAACTGCTCCTTTTCTTTGTTCATTTTAATATTTAAAATACAAACTTTTAATTAAAAATTGTTTTATATAAAAAAGATTTAGAAATGCCGCTGTTGCTTTCTTTTTCCTGATATGAGTTGATTTACAGTTACAATTGTATAGATAAAAAATTTGCAACAGAGTTGTATTTTTTCATTTTATTTTTCAAATGGATAATTTCTTTTAGTTTTTTTTAAAATCAAATTTTATTTGACTATGGAGGTGTGCGCGTTCCGTTCCGTTTTAAGTGCAAGTAATACTTTTACTTCTGGCTCTTTGGTAGCTTTGTCTTGAATATCAACACTGGGCAAATCAATTGCAGCAGAATCTTCATCCTTTAATGCGGCTTTGATTTGTTCCATCGCTTCGCGGAAATTTTCGTACTCTAAATTCTTCTCAGTGGAGAATTTTTCTTTGAATTCATTATACCTAAATAGGTTTTTTATGCCTATGTTGCAGTATCTCCTGTGCCATAGAAGTACTCGTTATACTTATTATTTTTATATTGCGTTATTTTTGCTGGCCATTCTATGTATCCTTTAGCTGGATACTTACCTTGCGCTATCGGCTTTGATTTTATCTTCACATGACGTTTCACCACAGAATGGAGAAAATAATATATTCTTCTTATCTAAAAACATGCAAAAGTCGGACCAGTTCTTTGTTATTTTTGTGTGCTGAACCAAATCTGATTGTGCTTTCGCCAACATGCTATCGTGAATTGTTTCAAGAAGTTGCTGAATTTTTGAGTCGACATCATCCAAAGCTAAAATCAATTTTTCACCTGAATCGCGGCGTACTGCTACAATTTGATTTGCTTTCATATCTTTAGGTCCGACTTCAATACGAATAGGAACACTTTTTAATTCCCAATGGTTGAATTTCCAGCCTGGAGAGTAATTATTACGGTAATCTCCTTCGCAACGAATACCTTTCGCACTCATCTTCTTTCGTGTTAACAGTAATTCCACATGGTACAATGATTGCTTGAATGCACGCTATATGTGGCGGCAAAACCAATCCTTGATTATCAGAATGAACCATAATCATAACACCAATAGTACGCGTTGTTATACCCCATGAATTCTGAATTTGATAAAAATAAATTGAACTTTTAATGTTGTACATATTTGAAAAAACTTTTACAATTTTGTTAATTTGCAAATTAAGTTATTTAAATAAAAATTGAAAATATGAAATTTGTTTTTTATTATTAAACGTAGAGTTTTTGTTATGTGAAATCTCCACCTTAGTTCTCTGAAATTAGTAAATCAGAAAATATCACTTATTTCAACTCTAATCTGCGTTATTAAAAACAATTAATTAATCTCTATTAACCTCGACCAAAATTAGATTATCTCTTGTATGGGAAATCTGTGATTAAACAACTAGATAACTACTATAATCTTGATAATTGCTTTAGGACGTGTGCGAGTTAGGCAAAGTTGATTCTAAACCAAATGGGAGATTTTTTGGGATTTTTTTGCACTGCACACATTTAGCCATTTATCAAATGTATCGACAAATCACTACATTACCGGCACAATTTAGAATTGCTAATGGCTAAATGTGTGCAGTGCAAAAAATCCCAAAAAATTTCCCATTTGGTTTAGCATCAACTTGGCCTAACTCGCATACGCCCTTAATTGTTTGGTAGCTTTATACTGAAGCAAGTAAGAATTGTGGATAAAGCAGAAATGACAATTAATTAATAACCTAATGTAATTACTTTGTTAGTGAATTTTATTAAGTATTACATATGTATAATGTATAAAGACTGGAAGCGTCTCCTTTTCTTCCTTCACCTATAATTTAACTGAAATTCATTTTAATGTAAAATTCGAATAATTTAAAAATTTCATTTGAAATAAATTACATATTACAATAAAACTGTAATAATAATTGCACAGCATTTATGGTCGTAATTTAAGTCTCAAAACTGATATAGTCTCGATATGTACTTAGGACGTGTGCGAGTTAGGCTAAGTTGATGCTAAACCAAATGGGAGATTTTTTGGGATTTTTTGCACTGCACACATTTAGCCATTTATCAACACGTATCGACACATCACTACATTATCGGCATAACTTACAATTTCCCTCATTTAGAACGCAACTTAGCCTAACTCGCACACGACCTAATACCAGGTTCGCACTATCTCATTTAGGCACTTGCTCACTTATATAAATGAGGAACCGTTCACATAATAATGAGCTCATTTATACAGCTTTTAGAACTTTTATATGTCAAAAAAGCTATAAAAGAACTTTCTTTTGTTTACAAATAAAACACAAAGAAAAATTTTGGTATTGTGTAAAATAAATATTTTAAAATGGAAAACGCAGAAAATTTAAAAAACATAATATATAATGTGTGTGAAATTATTAATAATAGAAAGAAAGCAATTTCTGAATATCGTAAATGTCGTGCAATGCACCGAAAAAATATACTTGAAATAAGAAAAAAGCAAATAGCAATACTTTCTACAATAATTGCTAGGAACCGGAGGAAGTGCTGGACTTTGGTTAGTGCCGCCAGTAATGATTATTAAATAAAGTTTAAAATTAACATTTTTTTTTCAGAAAAGAACAAAGAAATTCTGGGAAGTGGATTGCCAGAAAAATGGTCCAAATTTTTTCAAAGAAAATTTTCGCATGAGTTTGGAATGTTTTAAGGAGTTATGTGAATTATTAAAAGGACTACAGAAAAGAGATACAACCTTTCGAATTTCAATTTCTTTAGAAAAGAGAATTGCTATTGGCTTGTATTGTCTTGGGTCGTCTGCTGAATACAGAAGCGTAGCAAATCTGTTTGGCGTTGGCAAGTCAACCGTGTGCATTTGCCTGAAATTATTTTGCCAGGAGGTGTGGAAAATTCTTTCACCCTTGTACATGAATGCATTTCCATTAACAAGCGACAAGGTGAATGAGTGCATCAGAGGATTTGAGGTTCTTGGTTTTCCACAATGTTTAGGTGCAATGGGTAAGTTTTCAATTTACTATTACTGAAACATATTAATTGTAAACAACATTAAAGATGGAAGCCACATTGAAATAAAACCAGAATCTCAGAATGCTGTTGACTACTATAACTATAAAGGGTGGTACTCGATTGTTTTGTTTGCCCTCGTAGATTATAGGTAATTAATTTATAAGTAAATAAACAACGAAATTTCAATAAACGTGCAAATATATTTTACTGTTTATTTACAGATACCGTTTTCTTTATATAAATGTTGGGTATCCTGGAAGAGTCAATGACTCTTTTATTTTTGAAAATTCATCACTTAAGAGCCAGTTAGAAAATTGTATTGCTTTAGAAGACAAAAGTAGGGTGATTAATGGTGTCAAAATACCCGTATTGATCCTAGGTGATTCTGCATTTCGATTTTCCACCAAAGTTATGAAACCATACCCTTATGATGAAAACGCTAGCATTGGTCAAAAAACTTTTAACTACCAATTATCTAAATGTCGAAGAGTGGTTGAAAATGCTTTTGGGCAGCTTAAGGCAAGGTTTCGCAGAATAGGGAAGGGCATTGACAACAAAATCGAAAACGTGAACAGCATAATACAATCCTGCTGTGTTCTTCACAACTTTTTAAATGAAAAAAATGATGTAGTGGAAAAAAGTTGGGTACGAGCTCTGAAAAAACAACATCTGGTTTCAGAACGACAACAACCAGAAGAAGTTTCAGTATTAAATGACGGCGATCTAAATGCAGAACAAATAAGACGATGTTTAGCTACATTTTTTAGTAAGTTTTATTAGAAATTCACCTAATCCTAATTTTTAACTTTGTAGCACTAAATAACTTAATTTAATTATCCTATATATTTATAAAAAAAAAAAATGCAACTTAATCTAAATTATAATAGTATAATGATAACAATAATTATAAATTATGTTATATTATTAATAAATAATTATCGCTATTCATCGCTGGAGTCATCGTAACCAGTGAGCCGAGTATATGGAAAACCTCTTTCCATTGATGACGCGATACGGGATAAAGCAACATTGCTTTCTTCAATTAAATTCAGGAACCTTGCGTCTGTGCGTTCCTGCAGCTCGATGTGACGGTTCTCTACATCTATCAGATTCTGAAATTTTTCCAAAAGGGTGTCATTTAAATTGCCTTTATTTTTTTTTGCAGGTGTTTCAGAATCTTCCGACGTAGATATTGGATCTATCGGTGGAGAAGAGCATGGCGACAGCAACGATGTATCATTTGATGACGGGGCCTGGTCTGATAAATAAACACATTCATTATTTTGAAAAACTTAAACAAATTTGTAAAAACTCACCTGCAATACTTTCAAACACTAAATTTGTAGTGTTATGTATGAGCAAATTGCCTAAAAATCTTTTCAATATATGGAAGTACTTCCAGTCGGATGGCGCCCCTCCCGAAACTCCAACACACTGCTGTTCTTTCCTGATTTAAAATAAACAAACAAGCAAATTAATAAAAATAAATAAAAAAATTAACAAAATTACATTTAAATCTCTTTTTATTATATAAAATTACATAACATAATAAAAAACAAAACAGTTTCAATGCACAAATTATTATTGTAATTTTCAATTTCACTTATGAAATACTTACCTAAATCTTTGTGTAAAGTTGTGGACCTTCGTTTGCACTTCTAACGATGAGACCAGAAAACCCCTATTCTGAAGTTCTGTGGCCATCTCATTGAAAATATGTGCGTTCCGTCGGGCGCCCCGTAATTGTGGCAGTCTTTCCTCCCATATTTCCAAAAAGTGCCTCTCGGCACTTTCCGACCAAGCATTTCTCTTTCTCTTCATTTTCTGTGTCTGAAAATAATATTTAATTAAATTAATCTAAAATCAACTATTTAAATTTGTATTGCCTATTTAATTCATGAAAACAAAAAATTTTATTAAATACTAGTACGTACTTCTTTTTGCCATTGACATGAATCCATCTGAAATAAATGAATATATCTCACTAAAAAATTAAATATTTCATTGATATATTAAATCATTTATATACATGTTATATATTAATTACATTTCAATTAATAAAAACAGATTATATTTAATACTACTTTCTCAGTGTACTTGTTTACAGCACAGTTGTTGTTTGTTTACATTTTATATTTAAAAATATATGACAGATACTTCAAATTTTGGTCATTTCCCTTCTGGGAAATTTTTTTTAAAGGGTTGCATTCGACAATTTTGGTCTAAAATGAGCTGATTTATTGTAAATCAGAACATTTATATGAAAGCTTTTTGTATGGTAAATCATGCTCATTAGTGATTATAATGAGCAAAACCGCCTAAATGAGATAGTGTGAATGTACTATAAGTCAGCAAAGTTGATTACTTACGCATGATTTAATTCAATCTTAAGACTTGAACTAAGACTACAAAATCCACCTTTGTTATTTATTTTATTTATAATAATATTTTATTTTTTTTATTTTTTATTTATAATATTAAGTGCATTAAGTACATGCTTTTTATTGCACTATCTTAAAAACTAACTTAAAAGCTAACAAGATATTTATTCAAGTACAATTTATTTTGAAAATTACAAATATTAGAACAAATAATAAAACTGAGTTAAAAAATATAAGTTTGCTATAACTTCAAATTGGATATTATTATATGTATAATGATAAGGAAGTATAAAAATTAAACTAAAATTAACATTTAATTTAAAATAAAAATAATATATTAAATAAGTTCAGTTAACAATAACTTTTTAAAAACTCTTAAATTACATGCATTTCGGGTTGAACTTGGTAAAGCGTTCCATAATCGGATCGAATGAATAAAGAAAAACCTAGTGATAGCAACAAAATTAAATCTTGGAATTATGAAAAGAAGAGATCTTGTGGAACGCATCAGCTGCAAGCAATTATAAAGGTACTCAGGATATTTAGAAGTTTTTAATTAAAACAGAAATAGGCAGATTCGAATATTTAAATACTGCTCAATGTCACAACCCAGTATAGCGTTTCTATAAACTGTTAGATGATCAAAATGTTTAAGGCCGTAGACGTATTTAGTACAGCAGTTTACTACAGTTCTCAGTTTAGCAAGGGACTCGTAGTCAAGTTTACAGTACACCAACGCGGCATAAGTAATTATAGGCAATATTAGTTGTCTGACCAATAAGCCACGGACATGGACAGGGGTATACTTAGCAGATAAATTCAAATATTTGAGGCAAATAAATGATTTCCTAACGACATGATTGATATGATCAGAGGCATATAGCTTTGAATTCAAATTAAATCCTAGACATTTAACTGATGCACTATATTTAATAATTGAGTTTCCAATAGCTACCGATGGTAATTCGTCTAAGTTTAATTCAGACCTACTAAGCGGCAATATGATGGTTTTATCTGCATTTAGCAGCATATTGTTTTCAACCGCCCAGCGATGTATGCATGTTAAATCTATATTGATCTTTGTGACAATATCATTTAAATTATCACTCCGACACGAATGATACATTTGTATATCATCAGCATATCCATGTAGCCTCGAAAATTGACATACTGAGAAAACGTCATTAATATAGATCGAAAATAGCAATGGCCCAAGAATCGATCCTTGAGGAACCCCAGAAAACAGAAGTTTAAAATTTGAAAATTTATTATCAATAACTACTGACTGAGATCTCTCAGTTAAATAACTAAAAATAAATTTAGAAGCTAAACTGGAGAAGTGGAACTTATTTATGAGCTTTTTACAGAGCAAAGCGTGATCAACTCGATCAAATGCTTTTGAAAAATCTAGAAGACATAAGTAAGTAACCAAATCCCTATCATAACTTAATCTAATATCTTCAAGGACTTTCAGCAAGGCAGACGCACAACTATGACCTTTTCTGAAACCAGATTGATAAGGAGATAGCAGATGAAAAACGTTTAGATGATTACGAATCTGTTCAGACATTATAGCCTCACACACTTTGGAAAGAGAAGAAAGAATACTGATAGGTCGATAGTCAGAAACTAATGAAGCATTAACTTTTTTCTCAGTTGGAATAACTTTAGCTTGTTTCCATGCCACTGGAAATGTAGAGGTAGTAATACAATAGTTTATAATATGAGTTAATGGAGATATTATAAATGGTAAAATAAGCTTTATGAATTTAAGAGGAATTTCATTTTTCATTAAATTCTTAAAAACAATATCTTCACTGACGCAGTAAAAACTAAAGCCTCCATTAGCGTCAACAATATTCATATCAAAGAATACTGAAGAAGAGCTACCATTATCCTCTACAGAAGAAACAAAGAAGTTATTTAGAGCATTTGGGTCCATATTGCATATATTTTTACTTTTTCTTGTAACCCCAAGCATTTTGATATTATTCCAAAGGGTTTTAGTAGATTTAGTACCACCAAGCTTAGATTCATAGTAATCTGACTTAGCCTTAAAAACAGTTCTAGCAGCTACATTTCTAGCAATTCTAAACTTCATCCAGTTATATTCCGTAGGGTACTTTTTCCAAACTGCATATTTTCTATTTCTTAAATTAATAAAACGTTTTATTGTAGTACTAAACCATGGGCAAGAAACATTATTGACGGTAATAGTACGAAAAGGTACATACCGATGACGAAGGCTAAGCAATTTTTTATTAAATGCATCTAATTTTTGATCAACTGAAATACCAGACCAACATTCATTCCATTCAGTTGAATTAAGTTTACAAAATAATCCCACTGAATCAATTGACTTATAATCCCAAAAAGAAAATCTAGTTGAGATGGATTTTTTAGTTTTCTTGAAGTCAAGCGTAATAAATAGTAGGTCATGATCTGAAACAAATGAAATCTGTTCAAACAACAACAATTTGCTTATATCAGAAACTGCAATTATGTCCAGAAGACTAGGCTTAACATTATTGGCATATCTAGTAGGTATGGTCCTATTGACAATATTTAAGCCCGACATGGCAATAAGATCATTTAAACGGGAAACATTACCACAGTTTGAGAGAAGATCATTATTGAAATCACCAAGTACTGCTAAGAAGTCGAAATTAAGCGCAATGGGTTGCAGTGAATCAAAAAATGGATCGCAACTAAAGCGTTTGTGTGAATTATACACGCACCTCACCAATATTTTCTGAAAACCAACATTGATGCTTATATCAACGAATTCAATGTCGGACTCACCAGATATACATACCAAATTACTTTTTAAATGAGACTTGCAATAAATTGCCACCCCGCCTCCTCTCCTCTCCATGATAGGAGCATGGCGGTATAAAATATAATTGTTCATTGACAGAAATACACATCTTAGAACGCTGCTTTTACATTCTTTGTATATGTGGCCAGCTTCACCGCATTTTGCACATACATGCTCACTTTCCTTATAAACAGACGCTTTATGGTTAAAACCCCAGCACTTGTAGCATCGCATTACATTCAAGTTTTCGTACACTATGCATCGTTCCCAGCCAATATTAAGTCTACGAACACTCATAACTTGCTTGAAAGCTATGCCATCTAACTCAACTAACGCGTTAAAGATGTTTTTATTTTTGAACGACTCAAATATTTTCAAGACTTTAATATATTTAATCTCCATATTGTTTTGATTTCTTATTGCTTGGAGAAATTTATCATTTTCCAAACGCTCGCTCATACCGGTAATAAGGATTTTAGGGTTTCGCATAGCAGGTGTCTCAATTTCATAGTTCTTACCTAATTTCTTTTTAATTTCTTTTGCAAGAATTTCTCTCTCTTTTGAGGTTACACACTTTATTGTTACCCTTCCATCATGTTTAGAATGAACACCACAAACTTTAACATTAAGCTCTGATGGATTTATTTTAGTTTTTAAATAATTTTTAGTTGCTTCACTTAATTGCTTATTTTTAGGTTTTAGCGTTATTGGAATATTTGGATTGTTTTTTATCTTTAATTTCGCGGCGTACGTTTCGCTTTGAATTTCATTATTTTTAATGGTTTTTACCAATTCAGCACCTATTCGTTGCCATTTTTAGTCAAATTATCAGACAAGTCTATTATTTTTTGCTCAAACGAAGCTAATTTTTTTTCAAATTTTTCTTGTACTGCCATAAGAGAGGTGACTCTGTCGGAATACTTAGATTCAATTGCTTTTAGTAAAGAATTAATTTCACTTTAATTAATTTTTAGTGATTCCTTGAATTCGCTTTTGTATTCTTTTAAAATGTTCGTATTTTTAGTTACACTTTCTTGCATTTCTCTTAAAGCAAAGTCTACATTATGTATGTATTGCACACAGTCTTCACATATAAAATGTATCATTTTATTATTTAAAATATTTATATTGAATTGTTCTACTCCTGAACATTTTGGAGCAGTGTGATATACATGACCACACACACCTGAACATATCAGACCCGTCTCAACACGGATTCCTATGTAGTGATTGAAAAACCGAGTTCTGTTTAAGACTGACTTTATTCATTAAAAATATGTTTTTACAAAGTTCATATTTGGAGGAGCAGTGTGCATTAGCATACTGTGAGAATTTGCTGAATTGGCGTCTTCACACGCCAGCCCAAACACTATCGTCAAACGGACGGTAGGGGCTCATATTGCAAGAATGCAATAAAGGTACAATAAATATCAGCATACTTATTTACTCACATAGTGTATGCTTATGCACGCTACACCTAAATGACACTTATGGCATTCTTTCATATTTAAGTCATATATTTTATTTATTTAAAACAATATTTTAAAAAATGAATTTGATATTAACTGACTTTACCAGCAAACTATAGTTCCTTTGATTTATTCAATTACACAATTACACTTAACAATTGCTTTTTGTGAAAAAAGAATGTACGTTTCACAAAACTTATTTTTATTTATATTTCGAGCTTTAAAGCTTTAATTGCTGTCTCTATCAGCTGTTTTAAGTATGTGTATAAAAACAAATCAAATCAAATTTAAAAACGCGCGAATTATTTTGCAAAGGAAATAATTTATTTGGCTAGCAGCACAATTTATTAAGTTCGATTTTAATAAAATTTAACACGCCCGGCGCAAAAATCCATAATTCTAAATCCATTTGTAGAGGAATTTATGTCATGTGGTCTAATATTCAGCTTCAAACGGGCTACAATTGATTTGTGAATGAAATGAATTGTATTTTGTATTGATAAAGTTGCATTCTGTATAAAATGAAGCTAATAGTAATTTAGAGCAAAACAAGATTTGACGATTCATGACAAAATATTTCCAAATGAATTATATAGGTGCGAGTTCGAGTACACTGAGGTAAAGTAAATTGAAATTTCCTAGGGATTTTTTGCACTATACTTATGTAAATATTTATTTATTTACAATTTTTGGTCAAATTTATTTATTTATTTATTAAACATCTTATAAAATTTTCTAGATGGTAACATCTAGATTAACCTAATTTATATTTAATTTAGCCTACCCGAAATTCTGATAAATACCAACATTCGCTGCCATACCAACATAATATACTATTTCCCTCAATTTACTCGAACGCGCACACGGCCATAGTCAAATAAAATTTGATTTTAAAAAAAAACTAGAAGAAATTATACATTTCAAAAATAAAATTAAAAAATACAACTCTGTTGCAAATTTTTTATCTATACAATTGTAGTTGTAAATCAACTCATGTCAGGAAAAAGAAAGCAACAGCGGCATTTCTAGATCTGAGCTAAGTTTGTCTACATAAAAGCAGAAGATTTTTTCGAATAGTACGCGTATATAGAACAATTTTTAATTAAAAGTTTGTATTTTCGAGATCGAAAATGGTTAAAGAGAAGAAGCAATTCAAGATTGGCGATTTAGTGTTCGCCAAAGTTAAAGGATACCCAGCATGGCCAGCAAAAATCACGAAATACAACAATAAGAAGTATAACGTATACTTCTACGGAACAGGAGAAACAGCAAACATAAAAATAGAAGATCTATTTAAATATGAAGAAAATAAAGAGAAATTTTCCACTGAGAAAAATTTAAAGCGTTCCAATTTCCGCGAAGCGATTGAACAAATCGAAGCCGCATTAAAGGGGGAAGACTCTGCCCCAATTGATTTGCCCAGTGTTGCTCTAATGGACACATCAGTGGGTGATTATACTGGTGATGATACGTTAGCGAGTATAAATAATAGCATCGCTGTTCATGACACACAGGAAGTGAATGAAATTATTAATACGCCTGAGGTGTTAGAAGACGTTTCTGAAGAAAAAGAAATTGACGAAGTGGTTACTGAAATCAAAGATAAGACTCAGTTGAAAGATTCCAAAAACGTTAGCCGCAGTGGTAGAAAAACTAAACCTAAGCGATATTCTGAGGATGACAATGTTACAGCACATCAAGCTAAACGCAAAGTTCCAAAGGAAGGTATGTAAATGCTTTAATATAATATAAAGGGGCGAAGACGTTGGTATACTTAATAATTGGCGCGATAGTATATAATTGTGAATGTAATGATTAATGTAGCTTAGTAGAATTTTTTAAATATCTCGTAATAAGATTAAATGTGCAGAAACAGTCTTTTACTTACTTCAAAATATTTATCAAATTATAATGAATAAATTGGTTTACCAACTGCTAGCTGAATTAACACATTATTTCATCTTCTGCTTAATTATTATATTTTATAATTTAAAGTAATATATATTTTTATTTCAGGTATTGGTGCAGCTGATGCCAAAGTAAAATCATCCAAGAAGGTTAATGCTAGTAAGCCAACGGCAACAATCGCGCCAAATGTAAAGTCACAAAACTACGATAATGTTCTATTGGCTCTCATTCTACCCACAAAATGCATTGGGATTAAACTTGATTATAATAAGCCCGAATCTTTTCCATCTGTAAGCGATCGTCTCGAATGGGAAGCCGAAGCCCTCAAGGAAGCAAAAGAATTAAAAGAGAAACTGGAGATCGGAGAAATCAAACTAGAATCAGTAAAAGATAAAGTTATCTTAGATGTCCCAATTGGAAAACTCAATGCTGAAATTTCTGCAGATTTTACTTCACAAATGGTAGAACGAGAAAGTGCACTTTTTGCTGAACGCGATTTTCTTACCCAATGTCAGAAATTACGTGAATGCTTGGGGTTGAAACGTGCATACGTTGATAAGTGTCTGGAGTTATTGGACAATTTTAAGAAGTTTCAATTAAACCAATTGATGTTATTGCGTAATCCGGACTGTGTGGATATTATACGCCGCTTGCGTCGCTATGTAGGAAATTTGAAGCAGTGGAATTTAAGTAGCGACGAGGAGGCACGATTTAAGACAAACGCTGAAATAATACGTCAGGATGCCATAACTATATACAATAATTTTAAGAGATTATTTAATTACAATGGCGAAAAACAGTTTTGGGACGAATTTACTGAGCATGCAAAAGAATTTAAAGAGGTAACACGGAACTTAGGTGAACAGCATCGTGTATTTTTGACGGAAAATGTTTATCAAAAATTATTAGCTAAGCGAGAAAACGTAACTCGTGAAGAACACGAATCAAACTCACAAAATTCGTTGCAAAACGAGGAAGAAATTGATCAGCTAGAAGAAGCAGTTAATGATGACACCCATGATGATATACCCATTGATGCTTAGAATTTAATTAAACAGTTAAACACATACCATTGAAGGGACGAATGCAAATATTACTTGCAAATGTTGCATTACGTTACATTTTCTATTTACATTAGTATGAATTAAAATAAGGAAATTGTAAATCTTTTATAGGTTTAATATAGTAACTTCAATTAATTTCTCTGAAAACAAAATTTTCTATTGAAATTTTTAATTTTAGCTTTAAAATTTTAGCTTGCATATTGCTTTCAACAAAACTGTAATTGTCATGTTATGAATAGTCCATAATGTTAAAATAAAGTCTCATGAATAAAGTAAATATCAATAAAGTTCAATGCATTCTCTGCTTGAGTTGGAACAATAATTATTAAAATTAAGTTAATAGAAATAAATTATTTAACTTCAGTCACTGTAGAGGAATGCAAACTGTTACAGCTTGGGTTATTCCCCGTTTCTTTGGAAGGCTGCTTTCGTAAAAACAATAACGAAGGCTATGAGCGGCACTTGATGGTTGCTGACAATATCGGATTCTACTTAAATCATGTACATTACCAATTTCTGGGAAACCGATTTCGTTTACCTTTCTTGTGACAGAAGTTATTAGCAGCATTTAATCTTCGATAGCATATGGAATTGTTTGTTGGTATTGTGCCAATCAGGGTAGTCTTATCACAATCGACATTGCTAAATAGCAGTAAGAAATGTTAAAATCTTATAATAAAATATTTTATAAAGTGCATTAGACACTTCTAAATTTTTTCTTAATTTAAATATAATTTATTATACATAATTTATTTAAGTAACTTTTTCAACTCATCATCCATGTTTTGTTTTGAAGGATCGGCTAGTTTACGCTGCTTCGTTAAATCTCTGTAGTACTGCTCCTTTGCTTTCCGTTTTGCACGTTGTTCTGGTGTCTCTTTTGATTTTCTTATTTGGCTTCGTTTATTTTGATATTCCCGTTGCATTGCTAAGCGCGCAGCTGTTTCTTCTGGGGTTTCTGAAGCTTCTAAACGGTGTCTAGATAAAATTTTTTGCTGCGCCTGACGACGCTTGCGTTCAGCAGTTTGTTCAGGAGTCTCATTTTCTCTTTGCTTTTGGCGTGATAACCGCCTTTCAACTGTTTTACGTTGTTTTTCAACATTCCACTCATCTTCCGTTAGCTTTAATTGCTGCAATAAACGCTTCTTCATTGTTGCGACCCGTTGTCTAAGTAGTCGGGATTCGGTTTGTTCTGGTGTTTCACGGGCGCGGCGATCACGCGTTTGCTTCGCTACTAAACTACGTCTATTATCTAAATTTAAATCTGTTGTTTCCAAATCTTCCGAAGTTGTGCTATCTTTATCCAGTTTACATGTCTTAGCCTTTCGATTATAACCACGTTTACGAGTTCTTTTGTTTGATTCAGTTTGATCTGTTGAATTTTGTTTATCTGTTGCGTTACTGGTCAATAAGGGATCCGGCAGATCGCTGTTCGATTCCGCATTCAATGCAATGAACTCACAATACTCCTCCTTAATATGAACTGGCATATGTTTGTACCCCTCATTTTCCGCTTTTATATCGGCATCTTCCAGCTTTGAAACTCCATCAGTTTTGTTCTTTAATTCAGAAGAGTAGGCAGTTGAACACTGCCCAGTACTGTACAAACTCACATCAATATCTGTAGTATTTGTTAAAAATAATTTTTAAGTCAGGTACTAATTTAATGTAATTCACTTAACTTACCGTTGGGATTTAAAGAATCATTTGTCAATGGAAATTTCGTTTCTGTACTATCTGCATCAGTAACGCTATTAGTTGTATTCTCCATTACATTTGGATTATTATTTTTGTTTTTCTTTAAAAGAAATGTACACAAATTGTTATTTGTGGTAAGATATAATAATTTATAAATGTATTTATATAAATTTGTTTACAAGTTCATCGATTTTTCTGCACAGGGTTACCGCATTTTCTCAATTTGAATGTACATATGCATAATGAGGTAAATCTGTAATATGGCATATACGGTACCAGGTTAAATAAAATTTATCTGTGAATATATATTTCATTACAATACGCTTCTCCTTAAACAATCAACTCAATAAATGTGTAGCAAGTGATATCAAACACATAAAATCTGTATAAAAATGTGCTCTTAAATGTTTTGATAATTGCAAGTGTAAACATACAATTAGAATCATGATGTTCGTAGTTGTCACATAATTTAAAATATTATTATTTTATTATGAATATTATACCGTAAGCAAGGAAAATTAATTACTGTTCACAGGGTTTAATAACACCAAAGTTAAATAAAGACATGTTTTTTGTTAGTCGGGACTATCAAATAGTTCTGGAACTGATCACTGTTCACTTACAACAGCTTTAGGTAACAGGAGCTTTAGGTAACAGGATATAACTAGAGTAGACTAATTAAAACATTATCGCAGGCTTTTATAATAAAAAAATTTCTCAAATGTTACATTTTTTGTAGTTCTTTTCTCTTTTGCTTTTATGAGCCCTTCTTATATACTATACTCTATACTTTTATACCTAAACTGTAACAAGATCCGAGCTCAGAACTAGAATGGCAATTTGACTGTCCGATAGTATAGCTGTAAATAGTCTATACAATGGTGACAACTGCATAGATTAAATTGCGTACATTTGATGACATGAATTTCTGTTTGAATAAGTTCAATGGGTTCTATACATTTAGCTCTTGACTGTAATACTCCCATCTCAGCGCTATTTTGGGTGCTTGTTATATATGTACAATACACCGTTACATTTTTTTATAGAGAACAGCATCGTTAGAAAATTACTTATTTACTTTTTGCCACTTAATTTCCCTCAAATTGTTTCACGAAGTTGATAATCTTACAAATCATATAGACGCGACTTTTTACAAGTTGAGTGTGTCCCGTAACTTCCACATTTTTTTGAAAATCATCAACCTTTCTCTTATTAATCCTATTTGTTATTTTAAGAATTAAAAATTACAAATTAACTGTAATGATACCAGTATACATAAAAACAAAAAAAAATAATTATTTAGTATATTGATGGTGTCTATCACATCCATTAAACGAAGATTTTTTAAAATCACATTATAAAAAAAGCATGATCCAGTTAAGTACTTTGAACGCTGGCATTCAGGATTATGAACGCTATGGAGTATGAAAAAATGAACTATGAAAATAGTTAAGATATTTATCAAATGTATGTAGATTTTTGCAAAAGAAAGTTACAAGTAGTACACTTCAAATCAATGTATTAAATTGCAAAATTATTATAATTTTATTTTATTTATTAACTCATATAGAAATTTTATGCTAAATCTAAATGCTATTTAAAGGGAATATTAAATAAAAAATTAAAATTTGTTCATTCAAAGATTATAACTAAACGATAAAAGTTAGCATTTTCTTAATAAAATGTACATAAGCTCGTATAATTAATTCCGTATTAATTAACCAAATAAGGAATTACTTCAAAAAATAAAAAGTCATAATGTGACACGTCACAATTGTCTCAATTATATACATATAATATCTTATATAACTAATTTCCTACTAACTAGAAAGGAATCATTTCCGATTGTTATTCTTTTGTGTCTCCAATTCCATCAGGTAAAATAGCAAACATGGCTTCAGATTCAGGCAAACATGGTGAATCATAGATTTTGCATATTCTTGTTTCACCACGTCCTTTCCGCATATATAAACGTGTTGTTGAGGCATGTGCTATAATGTTGCCACCAATAGGTTTTTTTGGGTCAGCGGCAAACATTGAAGCACCACCATCAACAGTAGCTACAACTTGATTAGTAATAACAACAGCAACACCGAACTGCAAAAATTAAATAAATAATATTATTTAATAAAAGATGAAAATGTGGTATAAAAACCTCATCAGCTAGTCGCAAGAGTAAGCGCAAAAAACGCGCTAAGTGCATCTGCCGTGCAGCTAATTCACTACGACCTGCATAATCTGTACGATATAGAGCTGTTGCACTGTCCACAATTAACAAAGCATATCTAGATTTAAATAATATTATTACACATTTAAAATATTTATACTAAATTTCTACCTTGATTCAACCATCATAGCAGCAACTTGAGTTAGAAGTTGTGTTTGATGATCGGTGTTGTATGCTCGAGCTGTGGCAACATTGTCCAAAACTTCTTCTTTGACAAGATTATATCTTTCCGCAATAGCTGCGAGACGTTCTGGTCGAAACGTGCCTTCAGTGTCGATATATATGCATTTGCCTTCACCACCATTTTGACTTATCGGTAATTGACATGTAACTGCTAAAGTGTGACATAATTGAGTTTTGCCGCAACGAAATTCCCCGAACATTTCAGTTATAGAACCCGTTTCAATGCCGCCTCCCAACAATTTGTCCAATTCTTTAGAACCTGTTGTCAACATTATAATTTGTGATCGCTTCTCATGAAATATAGAAGCAGTCGTAAAACCCATTGGCACCAGTTTGGAGGCTTCTTTCAGTATCTTATCAGCTTTTACTTCATTTATGCCTTTAATCTGTAATAAATGCTTTTTGGGAGAAAAGGCTATCGATTCAACTGTAAAAAATCCTGCTTCTTGAAGACGCTTTATGTCATTGTTAGTTATTCCGTTCCCCTGTATAAAAATATGAATAATATTATAATTTCTTACATAATTTCAAAAATTTTACCTCCAATTTAAATAAAGGAATGGGTCCGGCTTCATCTTCTAGTTCGAGACTTGTGGCATTTGCCACTTCCATACATTGTGAGACTTCAACAACTTCCATTCTGTTTTTATTTATTTTTATGCGACTAATCTATGCTTAATTTGAGGAAATGCGCATCCCTTTGTGGTGTAATTTAAATAGGCGCTTTCGTTTATGGTTTGGTTTCTCTAACATTCGCTTCGATGTTACCAGACTCAAGCATTTAATATAATAAACGATTTCGGTTAAACGCTATTATTAATTTTTATTTTCAAGTATTGATATAGTGTAATAAAAAGAAACAGATTATAATTTCAATTTTCACAAGTAGTAGAAAATTAATCGTCAAAACTATTTTCGGCGAATAATACAAAAATGTCTACACTAAATTGCGAATGTCAGTAAGAAGAAATGTAAAAAAACACATTTCTTACCTGCTCTACATTACATAAAATGCAGTGGTTCGACATAAATTCAAAAACATGAATTAATTTCAGTTCTATAACAAAGAATGATTAAATATACTTATCTGGATGTGCAGTTGTAAGTAAAATATTTAACAAAATACTAAAGTTAATAACATTTACTACCGATAGAAAGTTACAAGACGATACAGACGCTACACTTACACCCGCTTATTTCTTGGGCAGTATTAATAATTCTTTAAAAAGTTTGTTTGGAGAAATTGGAGGACAAACTGAGTTAGAAATAATAGAGTTTTCTATTGATAAAAAACGTGGTATAATAAAGGTACCATCAGATTATAATAGACGTGTACGCAGCGCCATTGCTTTGATTGGATACTATCAAGACATACGTTGCCATTTTCGTGTGTTTCAGGAATCAAGCAAGTTATTGAATTTATAAATAATAATATATAATGTCTTATTGCAAAAGCATTGGTAAAGACAAGGTGATGTTTGTGACTATGGAGGAGCATTCAACGCCGAGTAAGGTAGAGTTGCCACCTCCTGAACCACAACCTGGTGTTATTACAGAAACCGGTGAAATAAACTGGAGTTGCCCATGCTTAGGTGGCATGGCTACTGGTCCATGTGGCGTTCAATTTCGCGATGCATTTTCATGTTTTCATTATAGCACAGAGGAACCAAAGGGTTCAGACTGCTATAATGCATTCCGTACTATGCAAGACTGTTTTCAGCAATATCCAACTGTGTACAATAAGGGAAATAGTGACGCAAAGGAAAGTCTGGATATGGAAAGTTTAGACCAAAATGCAACTGCAATGGAAGATAAAACACTTTCGGTCGTTGATAAAAAAAAAGATTAAGGACAATTAGACTTTTATTGTATTGATAAGCTTTTTTGTTACAACATTTGAAAGTTATTATTAAATGTAATTAATGTATATAAATTCTATTAAATTTTAATTGAATTGATTATATATTAAGCGACAGATTAATCTTAAGATTTAAAAACGATAATTTTGAAATAAATTTCGTAATTTTTTATAATGAAATGTATATTAAAAATTTGCATAAGGTCAAAATTCAAGAACATGGTACATTTGTCACAATATGTATGGTTGCTTTGTATATTCATACAAGTTATTAGTACAAAAAAGTTAGATATTAATGAAAAACTACAATAAATATGAATTGCAAGAAATTGTATTTTATATTCCTTAAAAACACAAATTGATGAATGTTAAAATGTTTACAAGAATGGTTTGTTTTTGTTTAAAAATAATCTCCATATTTGTTATTTAAGCCTGTCATTTTTTATCAATTACAAATGATAATGCTGAAAAGTAGATACATTGTTGTATTTTAAAGTATTCGTTCGCAATACAAATCTTTCAATTGAAGGTAAATTTTTATAGAGGTTTTTTTAAATTTTTATATATATGTATATATGTAAAAATTAGGTTTATATGAATTAATAAAAGAAATTGCGCTTATTCATTATATTAAATATGTTGGGTGCTTGTTTTAATTTCTGATTTTGTATTTTTTGATAATATTTGCTATAATAATATTCATATTATAGTAATATAATTTTAAAAGTAACTGTAGCCTTTATTAATTTTTATTTTGTAACAGTAAGGTAATAAACTTCATATATAATCTTTTTTGATAGCTACCGTACAAATATGTATATAATATATATACAATGTATATGTGTAACACATGTGTTAAACGTTTGACGATTGTTGTTTTCATTTTTCATTTTTCCCTCTTATTTTGACATTTTATGCATACAACACTTTTCATCTTATTTTGCTTTCGACTTCGTTTTATTCATGGTTCGTGTCGATTGAAAGAAGTAAAAATTGTGATGAAAATAAATTTTGTAATTAATCGCATCGAAAAATGCTCGAAAAATCTATAAAGTGTAGATTAAGTGAAAATATCGAAGTTCTAAATAAAAATCTAAAGTTCAACTTTGAAGTGCAGTAGAAATAAATAAATAAAAGGATATTTATGAAATTATTAGTGGACAGACAAAGACGGAAAGGAAAGTGCCGCCAGTGTTGTGAGACTTTCTTCTTGTTTGATTGAGTAATAATATCTGCTACCAATATTTCAATAAACATAATTAAAAAGTTTCATTTTAAAAATAAGAGTGTGAGTTTTTGATCGTATTTCTGTTGTGGATTTTATTTTTCGTTGTAAAAGTTAAAAGACAAAACGCAATTAAAGAAGACCTTCGAATAGTGTAGCATAAAAATTCATTTCCCTCGCCCCTTCGTACGACGCAATACCAAATTTTTAAAAAAAGAATTCATTATTTACATATAGCACATAAGTGTAAACAAAATATTACAAACAGTTTTATAGAGAAAAATTTCTATAATTTTGTTTAATAAAACGTTAAAAAAATTCAGCAAATTGGATAAACAAAATCATAAAAGCAGCTACCAAAATGGTTTCAATTGGTGCAAACGCTGAATCGCCGACCTCGACGAAATCCAGTTGTGGAAGTGCTAATGGCAAGCCTAAAGAAAAAAGAAGGTAAGTTTCAAATTCAACAAACTCCTATACAGATTCTAAAGCATCGCACAGATTTTATTTTAATTATTCCTAATATATTATGCTATTAAATGTATTACATCAGCAGCTTTGCTGCTTCCACGGGGCATTTTCTTCAAACGCTTCCAAAGAGCGTTTGATAGCACATCACGTGGTGTGTATTTGCTGTATGCAGTTTTCACTTAATTGATATTAGTTTATAGTTTGAATGTTTGTATAAGTTAAATAACTAGAGTTATTGTATTAATTGGTGTAATGTTGTTTAAGTCAAATAAAGTTAAAATTTTATTTCCAATGAAATATAGAATGATTAGTAAGGCACATTTGTTGTGCTTGTTTTCACAAGTTTTTGACATCCATTCTTTAGCAAACCAAAATCCTTTACTATATATCAAGATAAAAAAAATAATTTCTTGAAATTTAAAATTTTATTTAATTATAACTAATACATATATCTTGATTCAGTCTTTAATTGTACTCTTCATAATAAAGTGAATCATATAAATAGGTTGTCGGGTTTGTACGTATCCTTTGAATAACTAAATAATTTGTATTCAGTTCCGAAAACTCAAACCCATTACTATATATCAAGATAAAAAAAATAATTTCTTGAAATTTTAAATTTTATTTAATTATAACTAATACATATATCTTGATTCAGTCTTTAATTGTGCTCTTCATAATCAAGTGAATCATATCAATAGGTTGTCGGGTTTGTACGTATCCTTTGAATAACTAAATAATTTGTATTCAGTTCCGAATGCTCAATATTTAGAGTTAGAAGTTTGGAAATTTATTTCCATAGCATGTAAATATATTTTTTTTGTTTGTAGTAGGTGGAAGCATATTGCAAAGACCTTTCTATTATTTTTTTCCTGGCATATAATGTCATTTCGGTCAAGAGTGTTCATAGGTTTATTACGTTCTATAAGAAAGAATTATAATGGAAAAGAAACTGTTGAATCTTTCACTAATCGATAACTTGTTAAGAATTTTTTGAAAGATCATTAGAAAAACATATATATATGAATTAAATGCAGAGAATATATGTTAATAAGCCCTTGTATAAAACATAAATGACCGTTCTTGAAGTCAAAGACAACAACTATTAAGCAAAAAAAGATGTCGATAAATGAGCTCAATAGTTCGCCAACTATATCGGCCAGACAGTTACTTGTCGCGAATAAAATAATAAATTCGTAACATATCCTTAAATTTAAATTCTGCTAAGCTAAAGATTGTCATCAGTTTGTCAAAATAATCTATAACTCTGTTTCTGAGCCTGTATTCGGATTAGATATAATTTTCTCCTTCTATCCTCACTCCCCATTGTAACTTTCATTCCCATCACTGAATTTCATGATGTCTCGGTCCATTATTAAATCATTATTCACAACTCCCTGTTATAATTTAATTGTTTTGCCTCTATATTTTTGTTTTTGACTAGTTTTTTAAGTGTTTTAAGATTTGGAATATTGAGTTTAAATTATATATAATATAATATAAACCTCGAAAGTTTTAAAAAGATTTTGAACCTTTAAAAAAAGCTTAGTTCTTATTATTCAAGGCAACCCTTCAGATAAATATTGGCACTGATTATATTAATCGTGCATATATTTCATCTTTTTCTGAATTTTATGTTTTTATTGAAAATATTAATTTAATTGCTTATATATATAATTTTCTTTACATACTTTCTATATCTTTTGTATATATAGAAAGAAAATTATATGTTATATCTATGTGTGCATTTTTTGACTTAATACCTTTTGCAATACATTACACCTTTATTGCTATTTTATTTTACTAGTATTATGTGACCTTTGTTTACCTATAATTAACAAATCAAAAAATATGCCAAATAAAATGATTTATTATAAATATGCATTCACTTATCTACCGATTTATGTGATTTACTTCTATGAATATTTATTTGTCCAAGTATTTGTGAGAAATCCGCAATGACCGAGACCTTCTGAGTTTACCAAATTCAATTAAAATTTGAGCAAGACTTTTAAGCTTCACTAAAAGTATCAATTCTAGTAGGTTTACCCACCCATTTGAGAGGCATATATAATCTAATCTCAAATTTTGCTTATGTTAACGCTTTTTTTTTTGGCAAGTTGGTAGTGATTCAGCAAAAGTTACGTACTTTTTCCTCTACATACAATCGTCTAGTATATACATATATGGTATATGGTAGGTAGACCATTAAATAATTTCTACGAATATATTACTTCCGCACTTATACCTGCGATTGTAATTAATTTGTTGTTTTGATTTTGACTATAAAACTAAACATTCTAATTGTCGACTTTTATTGTTTGCAAATAGTCAATCTATTTTAAGAATGTCCGAAAAACGTATTTTTAATCAAAAAAAGTCCAATATAACATAGCAACTTATTGACTTAAACTCTTATCTTTTGGATGTGTGGAACACTTTACTTAAACCTATATCTCAGCTCTATAAGCCATTTTTATTTCTACTTTAATGTAAAGGATGACATTATTCATTCCATTCCAACTTATGAAATTGACTTCCACTTCTGGATGTGCAGTTTTTTGATTAAGTTTTTTAATTCTACGTCTTTGTTGTTGGTTTTTCCTATAACTCCTCATCACGAAGTGTGATTTTTTATTCAATTTAAAAACCAGTTTATTAGTTTTATTTCTTTATTTTGATATGAAAACTTGAAAATCGAATCACTGGTTTTTTTTAAGACAGCAACGAATTCCGTTTTTAGATAATTTTTTATTTCATTAAATTTAAGTTTAAAATTTTAAATATAAAATTTAAAATTTTAAATTTAAATTAATTGCTGATATGCAACATTTGTATTAAATATGATATTTAAAAATATTTGGTTTTACATTTGCGGCAAGTCGGGCGTACGTGACTTCAAACTCTTGGCTTCAAAGTATAAAATCTGTAAAAAGAGCTGCAGGCAATGCATGGGCCTTTTCAAGTCTGATTTTACATATAAATATGTAAATTTATTATCTGCCTTCATGCGCTATTGTTTATGAGTAAAATGTAGTGTGTATTATACAATATTTTAATTTTGTTATTTATTGTATATATGATTTTTAAAAATATTTAAATATATCAAAAATGTTTCAGTCAAAAATCACAATATTGCACTAGTTAAGAAGTTTTCATTACAAGTTTTGCTCAATTTTCCAGAAAATAATATATTAGAATTTCTGAATGAACTTATTATACTTATTATATATCTAAAGAAAATGTCTTCTTTCATATTCACGTCTAATTAAAACATTTAATTATTAGAAATGTGGTTTTAAAAAACAGTTTAATTTAAATAAAAATATATCATTTTAATTAACTAAAATAAAAATACATTAAAAATTAAATAAATAAAAATATTATTTTCAATGATTTCAATTTTATATATATATAAA